GGGGGGCTCGGCCCGGGCTGCCCCCTCGCATCCCTTGCACACCCCGGTCTGTATCCCCGGGTGTTGCCCTCGCCCGCCCCCAGGGCAGCCCAGCTCGCCGGCCCCGGAGGTTGCCCCTTTTTCCGCCACTCCCACCCCCCCCGGCGGGGTTCGGCCCCGACATCTGCGAAAGCCGCAGCAAGGACCGCAGGGTGGGCGCAGGGCTGGGGGGGGCACCGGGAACGCTGGGCTGGTGCTGCCCTGGGACCCCTTGGGAAAGGGGCAAAGCGCCACGAAGGCCGGTGGCTTCTCCAGGGGGGAGGACAAAAAAAGGGGCTGAGGCTGAGGCCTGGCTCTCGTTCGGTGCACGTCAGTGGGGTGATGCCGCCAGTGTCCCGGTCCCCTGGCCCCGTGTAGCTACCAGCAACCCTCTAGCCCCAAGGCTGACAGAAGAGAGTTCTGCAACCCCAGATGGGGACGCGGAGCTGGACACCGATGGGCAAGGCTGCGGGGGGAATCTGCTTGGCGCCGAAGGGGACGCGCTGAAAACTTGTTTTTGTCACCATGAGCTCGTTCCAGGATAATTGCCTGCACATAAGTTCACGTCTCCACGACCTTTTCCTCACCATCACGTCCATTAGACCTAACCCTCAGCAGCCCACATCCAAAAGGGCGGTGGTGGGGGCCCTCCTAATGGAGGCCTCCGATGATGTGATGGGCAGAGACTGAGCTTCACCAGGTCCATTAGACAACCAGACCCCGGTGCAGAGCAGCAATTTGTGGGAGGTGACGCACTCTCAGAACAGGCATGGTGGGAAGCGGGAGGAGGAGGTGCAAGGAGCAGCACTGACCATTTCTCCGGACTGTAGTCCTTGCTGGCACAGGGCACGTGTCTTGGCAAAGCTTATCCCGGTGCGGGGGAGGGGGGGAAGGCTGTACCTCCCTTGCCGGGCACAGCACTACAGCATGGCTTCCCCAAACAGGATTGCTGCTTTTCGGGTGTGAGAGCAGCTCACCCACAGGGATGCTGCCTAGGGCCCTGCCTGCGTGTCTGGAGTGCCGCGGCCTGCCAGCTCCAGAGACTCCTCAGTCCCGCTCCAGCCCCCTTCGCAGCTCGCTCTCCTTCCCACCTGGCCAGGAACGCAAAGCAGGAGGGAAGAGGGAAAGCAGGATGTTTTGCAGGGCACGGGGGCATCCCAGGTCACCCTGAGAGGATGCCAGCTGTGCCTGTGTGTTGAGGAGTTAGGGCTGCAGAGCTGGCAACAGAGGCAGGAAAAGTACAGGCAGAGCAGGCTGGGCAGCGCTGGCAGCCGGCGCTGCGGGAGCAGCATGGAGGGTACTGCTGACGCAGCAGAAAGTACCTCGGCGGGCAGCTGCGATGGATACGGCTAGGTGGTGGATACGGCTTGGTGAGGGGAGCAGCAGCAGCTGCTGGCAACCAGGCAAGCAAGCGGTGTGCTGAGACGGGAGGAGGAGGAGCGCTGCATCTGCTGGAGCCTTGCTAATTGTGAGCGGGGTGGCACGCCTCTGAGGAGCAGCTCAGCAGAGAGGTCCGAAAGGGTGGAGGGATGCCTGTCATCCCTGCAAGGGTGCATGATGGCTGCTAGGGCCACGGTCACAGGTGCTGAAAGGGGGGGGAGGGCAGACGAGGCTGAGGCTGGACCCTCCAGCATCCAGTAAGCAGGACCACAGAGACCTGCAGCACTGGGGACCTGAAAGAGTAGCACCTGTACCCTGGTGCAGGGAAAGGCCGTTACGCGTGGAGGACTCCTTCCTGGCATGCTCAGGTGTCTGCCAAGTTTGCTTCCAAAAAGGTGGGTAAAGTTGGGATGGGTTTGGCCAAACTGCCATCGGGAATCTCCCCAGCAGAGCCCTAAATCCTTTTGGAGGCAGGGAGGTTGGGAATAGCAGCACTACCCAGCTGGGAGGGTCAGCCAGGAAAAACGAAAGGGCTCCAGTGGGCAGTGGCACAAACCGGCTGTGCTGGGCAGGCAGGTACCCAGCTTCTTCTGCAATGACATGCCCCTGTGGGCACTGTCTCCCTGCTGAGCATCTCTGCCGAGGCAGGGCTCCGCATGCCCTGCTGGGGCCAGCCGGCAAGCCTGGTGCCATGCTGCCCGCTCCCGCTGCATGCCCAGGGCCAACCGTGCCCTCCCGGCCGCACGGCCCCAGGGCTCGGAGCAGGACGCTGCCTGTCACAGGAGCCTGATGGAGCTGTCACACTTGGCAGCTCTGGCCGGTCTCCTCGGCCGACTGATCTCGTGAGACATCTGCCGCTGCTGCGGGCCTGGGAAAGGCTCGGCTCTCCCACAGCCCGGCCTTGGCAAGCGGTGCGTGCCATGGCCAGGAAAGGCACTCGCAGCAGCTGGCCCTGGGATTTTGGCACGATGCTGGGATGTCCGGCATGGGACCTGGGGATACTGCGGCTCAACAGAAACTTGTTTTGCTGAGTCCAGCACAAGGCTGCTGTGTTTGGTTTCAGGAAAGGCGAGCACCCTCTGCTCGGACACTGTCACCTCCCCGGGGGGACAGGAAGAAGGGCGCAGGGGTCCTGCCAGCTGGCTCGCAGTCTGCCGGGGGGGTCACAGTGGCTGCCAGGCCCCTGTGTACCCCTCGCTCCCTCTCACCTTGCACTAATGGAGCTGGGAGGGTTAAAATGCCAGGCTGCTCTCCAAGGAAGGCTCCTGCTTCCCTCCACGTGGGTACGGGGGTAGAGCTGAGCAGAGCAGTTGGGCTGCAGCCTCCCAGCTCAATGCAGCAGGCGCAGCGCTGGCCCCGGCTGCCCTGGAGCATCCTGCTCGGGCGACCCTGGCCCCACTCCCGGCAGCAACGGGAGGACAGCCCCAGCCCCCTCCCAAACCTCCCCAAGCCAGGGGATGCTGGGCTCCAGGACCAGGAGCAGGCAGAGCCCTAGTGCTGATGGAGGAGGTGGCGACGCTGGAACAGAGCTTCCCATCAGCACCTTATATTTACTGCAAGGTCCTCTGGCTGTGACCTTTAAAAGACAAGGTGGCCTGGCAGCCCGGGAGGTGGCAGCAGGCAGGAGGTGCTCGCAGTGATCAGACGCTGCAGGACCATCCCGGCTGGGCCAGGCATGCCGGGCTGGGAGCAGAGCGAGAGCGAGAGGTCCTGGGCACGCAGACTGCAGGTGAGTGCTTGGCTGCCTTTGTCATTCTCAGCCTTCCCTTGCCTGCAGCTCTCCCTCGGAGCAATGCTTTCCCCTCTCCCTGCCTCCTTCTCCCTTCGCAGAGCTGTCCTGCCTGCTGTCTCCTGGGCACCCACCAGCAGAGCCGCTAGCCCTCCGGGGTGGGCAGGTTCCTCACCCCCTTTCACGGGCCCTTTAATACAAGAGGGGAAAGAGGAGCCGTGTCCCCAGGCAGCCACTGCAGAGGCATCTGCAAGAAACACTGAGCGAGGCCACCGTCCTGCGTCCCAGGAGAAAGTTTCTTCCTGACCCAGCACAGCCCGAGGCCACCTCTGCCGGACCCTCCCCAGCTCCGGCTCTTCAGTGCTGCCCTTGACACTCCTCAGCTCCCCGGAGTTCACTGCCCCAGGCTGTCCCCTTTTCCAGGTCCCCCCCTCATTACTTCCCAGCCTCATGAGCAGGGGGGCCAGGCTGCAGGCAGCATGTCAGGGATGGCAGCTCCGGGCTCCCCCCTCACAGCGGTCCCCCGTGGCTCTCTGCACGGCACTGAACAGAGGTCCCCGCCATCTCCCCACCTGCTCTCTTGCTCTTCAACACCTCGAATCCCACCTAGTCCAAGGAAATTTAAGTGCTCTGTAAAAGGGACTGTCCCTGGCTCTGGAGAATCTGCAAAGCCCCAACGCTGGGGGGGGGTTGCAGTCACTGCCCTCGGTCCTTTGCGGTGCTGAAAACTCACCCTTGTCGCATCCCGTGGGGCTCTCCTCCATCATCCCACACTGCCTGCCTTCCTCACGGATTTCTTGCCAGCAACTCTCCCAGAGGCGACCCCATGCTGCCAACCTGTGGGTCCCCTGTGTCCTTTGCCTACGGGTGTATTCACCCCTCCATCAGGCTGATTCCCCCTAAAGCTGGGTGGGTAGATAGCCGCATGCCCTCCTCCAGCGAGTTGCTCCTTTCTGTAACAGCGAAGCTGTTCCCTGCCATGGGCTGGGTACCAATTGCAACCTGGCTGGGCTGTACCCCCCAGCAGCAGCCCAGCACACTGTGTCAGCGGAGGGCATTGGAAGTGATTTTGGTGCCCTTCCTCCAGGGAGGGAGAGCTGCCTGCGGGAGGTGCAGGGTTAAGCCCGCAGGCATACAGTGAGGCGTGCAGGGCGGCACTGGGAAGAGCTGAGACTGCTGGCGCTGCTCACTGTCACCCCGCTGCTCGGAGCAGCAGCAGGCTGAGTGAGGTGGGCTGCCGGGCAGCGGGTAAGGCAGGGCAGGCAGAAAGAGGTAGTCGTAGGCGCTGGCCAGACTTTGCGTGTGTGCGGACTTGGGATGCGCAGGCGTTCGGCGGCCAGGGTTGAAGGGCAGTTGGGAGAGGCATGACTGACTGTCACCCTCGTGCCTCCCACTCCTTGCAGGTGGGTAAATGGATGGAGGTGCCTATTAACTGTGCCCTATTTGTGCCGCACCACTCTGGCGCATCCGTGCGGCATTGCCGGATGGCTAAATTGGACAGCAGCCTGGTTACAGGTGTTGATCACCCGGTGTGTGCCCTGGGCTCCGCTGGAGCCTGCTGAACCTTACCTGCCATGCCCCAAGCAGCTGCTGTCCTCAGCTCTCTGCGGAGCAGAGGTGGGGAAGTCGGCAGGGTGCAGCTCCCTGTAGCACAGCTGGAGCCCCGCAGTGCATGGGGAGCACCCC